AGGGGGGCGTAGAAGGTACTACGCTGGAATAGGAATGTACCATGAGGGGGGGAGGATAAATCCAGACCAAAGAATAAGAAAACAACGCAGACGGTTAACACTTTGCATGCAAATGGTTAGGAAAATAATCGATGGGCGATTATCCGATGAAATTGCTTGTTTTGAAGATGCGCTTGATCCAATGTCCTAATAGATCTCTTTAATAAGTTGCATCTCCGAAACTCGAGAACCACTCAGAAATATCATTGTGCCTTCAAATACAGTATATTACTCGAGTGATGTTTAAGGACTGCGAAAAAAACGTTATATTCACAAGCTGCCAACAGGGAGTCAGTAGTATACAAATACGTAATGCCTTATCATACTGTCATCACAGTTATTAGCGCATTAATTATTAAGGAATTGAAAAGGGGCAGCATGGAAACTGGAGTCCATATACAAAAAGGCACATGGGGGCGTTGTAGGACCAAGTGAGAAGCCGAACCGCTCACAGCTGCATCATCTGGCGTTATGAGAATGGTGAAACACTCGCGTTCGGTGCTATAGCTAAACCTTTGCCGTCAGTTTGGTAAAGCATTACGTATTTTCTGCAAATATTTCCATGTTCATCTTGATTTGGCAAACATAGGTTTTCAGCACATCAGCACATCGAGCCTGTACAATTGCATTGATAATGAAAAAAATTAGACTTGGACAGGGGTCTTAATGTCCTATGATTAAAACTGATCGTTTTTAAATCGCCCGCATGGCGAAATCAGCATGTAGGTCAGTGGACTGAAGGTGGGAGGGAGGAAGGGGAAAATAGGGAAGGTTGTGACTATTGGTCATGGATGGAGTACGCGGAGCAAAAATTAATGTCACGTGCGCGATGCGAACAACAATGACTAGGGCTGGGTTGACATGTGATCGCCACCTGTCTTCGGCGGCGGCCATGGAAGAAAAAGCGCCTGTACGAGCGTCTGCTGACAACACAGCACTGGGTTTGTTAGCCGTATAGCTACGGTCTCGGTTGTGGCTAGCACCCGTTAGCGTAGGATCTTGGAGAATTTGACTGGTGTCCGGTAGGCAACATGAAAAGTTTCGTTATGATCTACCCGATGATTCTTCTCGAGAAGATGTCTGAAAATAGAACTCGAGATCGATCTAGCTTCAACTTTACTAAGACAAACCGATGTGTGTTTACTTACCCACTTTTCTAGAGGCCTCGTCTTATTACGTATTTGTATGCCCCTTTGTCGAATGTTATATTAAAATTGTTACTTCGCAGGGGTGATGAATTCCAGCTCAAAGTTTCATATCGGCATTCAAAGCGAGCTGGAAAAGCTTTGGTTCAATGGATTTGCCCCAATTTCGAGCATTAATGTCTGAGGAAATTAAATCGGTATAATCAAAACAAATTATATCAGTAAACTAGCGGACTTAAAAGGAAGATCAGCGTGGGTGACCGACATAATGCTGAAATCAGCTTGAGCTTCTGTTACATGCAAATTGGTGTCGCAATCTCATTCAAACAACCCTTCCGATTTGCAGGTTTGTGCGAAGAATACAGTTAAAGCTTCACGACCTTCGGTATCTTCGTTTTATTGCATCTTCGCAACCATTTTAAGCCAATTTTCCATTGCAGAACACTCCTGTTTTGAAAACTAGTCCGGCAGGTAAACATACTGAAGGTAAAACTAGGTTTTCACTTCATGTCAAAAGGTGTGCATTCTGTTTAAATTTGGTGATATTTAATGTCTAGATTCCATGATATCCGCATTTAAGTATTTACAAACTACCGATCGTTACCTTTCCCATGTAGACGCTTACTGGCGTAAAATGGGAAAAGTTATAGTTTGCGGATCAAATATCACGTAAAAGCATTAGATTATTTTTCAGGTGGTCAAGTAAGGCAAACCTCAGATGGTTTTCTCCTTCCTTACGTCGCCTGTTCCTCTAGAGTGTTTTAGGATTCACATTTTCTATTTACCACAATGTACAAAACTCGAACTTTGGCTGAAAACGATCTGCAGGCCGCAACGTCCTTTCTTCTATATATTACATAAGAACTGGTGCAAAAGATGCTTGCCTAGAATGGTGCTACTAAATTGTAGTTTCATCACTGATTTGCTGAAGACATAAAAGCTTTCTGTGCTTTGGCCCCTCCAGCCATCAACGTAGAAACGCGCTTACTCAGTTTTATGTCCATCTCCTATAGGCTGCTTTATATAATTCTTACCTTTAACAATCAACAAACGTGGTTGGCGGTCCTTTGGTGTGTAGGGCAGTGTCTTGCCGGAAGTACACAATCAAACGATAAAGATATGCGGACTAACGCTCCCGATCTCTCCTTACCATCTTGTTGTGTTCTTCCGTTTGATTGGAGAGGTCCGTGGTCATCTCCTCGATGAGGCGTAACTGTCGGCGCATACGCCGTTCCGTCTTATTCTGATACTCTTCTCGCTTTGTCTTCTCCTTGGTGGTTGTGAGAAGGGCCTGACGCACCAGGAAACGCATCTGTACAAGCAGACTGCCCATGTGTTTGAGCGGAGGGCAGGCCTCAACACCCCACTGTTGGTAGTGCCGCAACAGAGCGAAACAGGCCTCCTTATTGCCCATTAGGCTGCGAATCAAGTGACGAGACAGCATGAAGACTGTGTCTTTCACCTAGGGAAGTGGGAAGGGAAATAGGGCAAGACTGATTATAGAGGCCCAAAAAACCCGTCGACTTATAATGCAAAACTACTTTTAAATGTTCGGTAGCCTGACTTTAATTTTTTTCGTTAACTTCCACCAATAGGAGGCTCAATTTCCATTTTCGTTAAATTCCACATACATAAGGCCGAATTTCCCTCGATTAGCATTCGTATCCTGCGCAACAGATGTTTATGCTGACTGAATTTGATTCTATTAAGCATATTAAAACAAACATAATCTTATTTAATTTAATTTTTGATCAATTCTACCCCACTTACATATTAATTTACGCTCACTATCCAAGAATTAAATGTTTGACGACAAACTATTTTAAGCAGTCGGGCGGGGGTATAGAGACCTATAGGGGCCCTACAAATCAATTTCGCTGGAAATAAGCATATTTTATCCTTAAACTACTAGATGTGGCTATGACAACAGATTTAGAATGCGATTTTTGATAAAATGTAATGTATGAATTCTTTGGGAAATAGAGCGCAGACACCTGTAAAACGAGATAAGTGAAAATACTTGGTTTATTAGCAGGACCGTTAAAGGAGTCCGTGGAAGGCACTGAGAATACTCACCTTTCCTGTAGAAGTTTGTATTACTCCAACTAGGTGCTGTCACAGACGCAAAATGCGAAATATACAAATAAGGGCGACTTAAAAGGTAGAAAACAGGAAGTAAAAGGGGATTGCTTGAAGACGTTTGGATTCGATAACAAAGGCTACAGCAGGATCAATTAAGCTTTACGCTTAAGCCTGACGCACACTCTATCTCTTTATCGAACCTATTCTTAACCCAACTCTAACCTTAACTTGGCCTTGAACATTCTATTAAGCCTCGCCAGTAACGTTACCCTAATAAAACAGACATTTTATGATAATAAAAAATAGAGACACATCTTGTAACTCGTAGTCATGGTTTAATCGCAGTACGAAATTATTAACAATAGAGACAGTACAGAGGATAGCTAAAAGCTCAGACACGCGCGTTTGAATGATCTTGTGCCGCTGAATAACATAATCACATGAGGAATGGGCTCATCGGTAGGTTCCCAAGCGCTCCCTGTGGGCTCTGCCATATGAATTCCAGTTTCCAACCTGCCTAGTTTAATTTCCCTGGAAACTGATGCACGAACTTTTATCATATCCTTCGAAATGAACATTTACATGCCCGCTCCGAAAGTCAACTTAACTATTTGAACTGAAATCCACTAGCTACTGCAGAATATCCACTTATATCCACAAGTTGCTAATAGGCAGTCAGAAGTATACAAGCACGTAATTATTTAGCACAGACAAACCAGAAGCAGATGGATTTCTGCTCAAATATTCATATCAAATTTCAGAATTAGCCTCAAAAGGTTATTTCGAAGCCATTGCTGCAATTTTATGCGTTAATTTCGGCAATTAAACAAAACGGACATTCTGTGATAATTCCCGGTGCAGAAGTATGTTAATAAGTGCGTAATTTAGGACGTGCGCACATGGGAGCAAGTAAAATGTATCGCTTGCATTTTTTTGCGCCTCAGGTAAAATTGGCGTGCATATGCGTGTTTCGACACTACCATGAGCGCCAACAACTGGCTAGAAATTAAACAGATAAGTTAAATGGCACATATCATAACGTTCAAACAAGGTGTTCCCTGTCACTCATTTACTGACTTTTAAAAAGAGCCGCTATAAGAAATCAGCCTAAGGTTCAACTAACCTTCGGTTAATTATCTAATAACTAGAGTCAAAATTTCGCTTGAAACGACTACCTGCATGGACGTCATAGTCCACCTTTTAGCTATCCGAAAAATAACATATCAATAACAGTTTATATGATATATACTCAAAAGTGAATTCTAGAGCAAAGTTTTTCGGTATAACCGCATTCTCGTGAGTTATTCAAGGCAACGGTATGCATAAAATGGTCGACTATGCACCTTAGCTCGACTAAGTAACATTGGTAAGGCCTATAAACATCTCTCGTAAGAACCCCAAAGCTGCCGGGCAGTCAGGCGAAATCCGCCTGCCTATATCTGCTGATCTGCAACTCCGTAGAGAGACGGCATGCCAACACAAAAACACCAGATGAAAACAAAGAAGGTGGTTAGCTCACATTCCCATCTACTCTGCTTATTTATTATTACTGAGCTAATGACATAGCTGTAGGATGTAGCTATGTTTGTTTATTATGGAACAGATTGCTCTCCTACTACATAGGAGACGTCCTCTAATACTCAAGAGAGATAGTTAGGTACTGCAAAAAGTCAGAAGTTAGCCTAATAACCGCAAATGTCTAAATAATTGCCGATACAGGTTGCATCTGCATACTACAGGGC